ACGGCGGATTCTCATGCGAAATCATGTCTTCAAGAGTAACGAGAGGAGCAGGTGCTTTGTGAAAAATCACTTTACCCACGTGAATATTACCAAAGAACCGGTATGCTTGGATCTTTTTTCAAAATCTTTCACAAAATTTTCTACAAGTGCATAAAAATCCGCAGCCTGAGATAAAGTGAGAAATAAAAGTAAGCTCAAAATACTAACCAGCAGCAGGATGAATAAATTCCTACCGAGCGATGGAACAATTTCTTCAACTCGTCGCTAACGCTTCAACATCTCATCTCCCAACTCCAGCAGTTGGTAGATGGATAGTGCTGGCACTTGAATTCTACAAGTCGAAGTCGAAGCGTATGGATTGGAGTTGGGCGGCACATGAGCGTGCGTGAGTTCGGTGACCACATGGACATGGTGTGGAAGGCGCGCGCGCGCGCGCGTTAGGAAGGTAAGTAAGTAAGAAGGTAGCTCGTGTAGCCAGCCAGGAAATCTATCCCGCATCGGCTCCCTTCTCCATCGCCAGGACCTTTGCTCACCGCCCTGTAATCATCGCGAGTCAGTGGCGGCGGCCGCTAATTATGTTTCATAACACTTCTTACCCCCACTCTAACGTCCACTCCCTTAGGGGCAGCTCATCATTTATTTACATCATATTCGTCCCGAGGGACAGCGCAACGGCCTCCGAGGATCTTCCTTCTTTACCATTCGGTTCCGTTCGCCGTCGTTTTTTTTTTTTTTTCGTTCACGTGCTTCGCATCGCACTGCATTTCGTCGCGCGAGTTTCCACGATGCTTCTGAAAAAAATTGAACGTACAATCACTTTCCAGGAAGATGTATATCCGTTGCTGTGCTCAGTTTAGGTTCCCTCGGTTTTCAGTGTAAGTTTCAGGACAAATTTAGATAAAAGGCGCAATGTTATAGAGTTATTTAATAAAAATTGATGCTAGTTGGTATCGTGGGAGAATTATCTAGTTAGTCGAACGATCCCGAACATGGAATTAGAAACTAATTGAATAAATAATATCAAAATTAATTGTGCAGTGTACAATGGGACGAATGGTAACAATTTCTTTGTTTCTACGTATCTCGGACAAATACCAATTTAAAATTAAAAATTAATTGTGTATTTTTTTTAAATTTTAAATATATTTTAATATATTTAATATATTTTTTATTTTATTATTTTGATATATTCAAATATATTTTGATGGGATATTTTTTAAATATAATTGTTGATTACATTTTTACTTTTACTAGCTGTACATTATCATGCATGTTGTTTCATACATTACGCGTGGAAACTACATGTATATTATTATATTATAATATACATTAATTGTCGTTATCATATACATCATATGTGCCAATCTAATAATTAAGTCTTTGCGTGTAATATATCTATAATGCTAAGTTTTGGAGAGCAACGTAGAAAATTCTTTAAGAGACGTCCGTTAAGGACGAATCTGGATTTGGCGAACCACCGTCTAATAGGCGTTTCTTGTCTCCCGATTGATTTTCGGATTATCCGACGGGATTCTGGGCAACTACGATCCTTTCGTTCCTTTCGTTCCTTTCGGCTCTTCCCAGCTTTCCTCCCCTCTCTCTTCCCTTTTCCGTTTTCTTCGTCGCGCTTTCGAGAATCTCGAAGGAATCTCGCCCTATAGCTACGCCCGATATAGCCGGCAGATTGGTGGCACTTGTGCGGTCGAGCGATTAAGTGGCTTCAAGCGATATTCTCCAAGAAAATTGGCGAGGTCTCGGAGAGCAGACCGAGTTTTAATTAACCTCTGTCTTCCCGCCAGCATTTTGCAGGGTCGTCGAGCCCTCGCAGTAGCCGGTACTCTTCTCCGGATTCGCGCTACACCCCAAATTACGCGTGACCACCTAACCCGAGTTTCACTCGAAGGGAGCAGCTCGTTGTTTCCTATATTTTGTTGTTTCTCTTTTCTTTCTTTTTTGTTTTTTTTTTTCGTGCAACGTGAACTTTTTGATTCACGGCGGAATCAGGACGGATCCGTCGAAGAAATCAGCCGATATCTTGGGATCGGATCGGCACCGTCATCGATCATCGATTCGTACGACAAAACGTAGAATCAAAAGGGCGGCCGTGATGTCGTGGGCATCGTGAGACGAGGAATAAGTGCCGCGTAACCGCGCGGCGATTTGTCCGGATCAGCGTCAGACTAAGCAGATTACCAGCTCACCCCCCGGCAGCGAAATTGCTTTCTTTTTTTCATTTCTTTTTTCGAGGATGAACCGCGCTGAGAGCAAGTGGCGAAATCGCTCGATCTATCGACGTTGGTCGATCGACGGTCCATCCGTTTCTTCAGATCCTACCAACGACGATGAAAACAGCGCGAGACTCCTCCTCGTTAGTGGAAAACGAGCGCCCGATCTTCTTCTTCACGCGTGGAACGTCGAACGAAGAAGCTCGAAGTTGGCCCGAAAGTCTGGCATGGTATACGTGTCTACTCGTCCGGGATAAAAACGAGAGATATCATCGAATATCTGGCCGACTGTGCTTTTCGTCGACTAAATATATCTCGACGCGAGGAGGCGCACTCGCGGCAATAAAGCGACGAATCCAGCCGAGGGTGTACGGTTAATCTAAAGATACCGTAATGCCAGATCGGCACGTGAAGCAGCCTCTGCTTTTGAAACGCGCGATCCTTTGAAGTGGTTTTCGTTGGTATCCCGTGAGTATCAAACGTGGATTCACCTGATCGTAACGAGCGGATCGTAACGAGCTAGACGCGACCGCGTGACGTTCTCGCCTAGAGAAAGGAAGGCTCGAAACGACCGGAAACGATGCCGCAGCGCGTTCTGCTTCGAGCTGCCGGCGATGGCAACGAAACGACGCAACGTCGATCTTGAAAAAGAGGCAGAAACAACGGTGCGATGCTGGATTCGTCTAGAGAAGATTCGTTACGTTTAAAATTATCGCGCGTCCGCCGATTCCAGTGGACGTCAAACGTGTTACGAACCGACCGCGGTAATTAGAAACACTATCGGCCGTCGATGGGCCGGTTTCTTGCATCGCTGCCCCGATCGGTTGCTTATCTCGGTGGAGAGATAAGATTTTCATCGTGGCGTGGAGATTCTCTGCGGATAAGAAAACGAGAGAGAAAGAGACGGCGATTTCCCGCCTTGGCCGTTGGCCGCGGCTCCGCGCCCGAGGATTATAATATTTATCTTTCGCGGGTAATAACGGAATTGAATCGCGTGAAATTTCTAACTCGTAACGCGATATCGCGGCCCGTTTTTTCTACACGTTAAACCGTATAATTACAATAATCCGCCGATGATATCGCGCGCGATACACGTATCGCTACCTACGTATTTAGCGCGCAAGGCAATTTCCTGCTTTATTATAATAATATCCGGAGCAATCTGCTGCCCTCTCCCACCCCACCCTTCCCACCACCCGGAGCGTACCGTCGTCCCTCCTCGCGCGGTTTCTTATCTTCAAACGCGCCGCGTCTTCGTTAACCGCTCGCGTCTCTTGCGCCGATCTTCGGATCCGATTTGTCTGAACGTTTAGCAAACGTTCGGACGACGGGCGCGTTCCACGATTTCTGCTTCGATTTCTTTCGAACGACGCGTCGTCGAATTAGAGAAAGGACCTCGCAGTTTGCCAAGGAGAGAGTCGAAACATTGCAAAACTTCACCCTCCCTGCCGAACGATGATCGACCCCGTGGAAAAGCCATCCAACGAACGACGAGCGAGAGCGAGGAAACCAACCAGCCAGCCAGGCTGCAGCGGTTAGTGAGCTCCGACCGTGCAGTTAACCACCCACCGGCGTTACCGGTCGCTCGCGTTTAAAGCTCCGCCAGTAAAACGATAAATTGCACGAGTCGACGGTGCCGCGCAAAGAACTAGAGACCGACGGATGGAGGAGGAGTGAAAGGGAGGTGGAAAGAGAGAGAGAGAGAGAGAGAGAGAGAGAGAGAGAGAGAGAGAGAGAAACGGTGGTCCCTGTCAGCAATTGCCCCCTCTCGTAAGAAAAAATGGCAGCTGCTGTTGCTAGATGCCGCGTACCGAACCATAATGCCAGTACCACCCTCCTCGCTTACTCGTCCGCGCAGGAGCTCGCGCGAGAGGGCATTCGATGCTCCGGAGGAGAAACCAGGAGGCCGACCGTGCCGAAAGTACCAACCTGGCCGGGAGAGAAGAGGACGATCGAACGGAACGAACCCGGCGGTTGAACGAAGAGGGACGATCGGTCAAGGTAAGAGGAACAACGGAGAACCGCAAAAGAGGAGGAGGCACGTACGGTTCGCGACGACCACCACCATCTCTGTCGCTGTCGCCGCCACCAGATCCGCTGCCACCCACCACCATCACCATCACCGCCACTACCACCACCACCGCCGCCGCCGTCGCTACTACCACCATCGTCGCAACGCCATCGTTGTACCTACTACCACCACTACATCAGCTCAACTAGCGAAGGACCATTACGAGCACCATTGGTATGACTGGCGATCGTAACGCGATCGGTAACCGAGTGGCGAGAAAGAAGCGCGGAACAGAAAAAGAGGAGGACGAGGAGGAAGAGAGCGAAAGAGAGAGCTGGCTCGCGAGAGGAGAAAACGCGGGTGTACGCGCGTGGAAAGGCAGCTGGCTGCCGGTTGGCGATCGTGCTCGCGCTCGCGCGCGATTCAACGGCTGGAAAGAAGGACGGAGAAGCGTGTAATAAGGTGTTCTCGCGAACCTCTCGGCGAATTCCTAGGAGGAGAGGAGAACACGGGCGGAGCCGGGTGCTGATCGTTCGGGCGGAGCTTGGCTCGGCCTGGGAACCGCCTACCCAGCAGGAATCGCCTTTTCTCTCCCTCTGGAATCGGTCGCCCCAACGTTGGTCTCTCACCCCGAGCGAGTCGAGTGGCGCGCGTTCTCTCCCGCCGCCCCGTGTCTCGCCGCGCGCGCGTCGCGGACGATCGAGCACTCGAGCGAGTCGCGAAGCGCCGGGGGTGGGGGCCGAAACGAGAAGCCGGCCGCCGGTGGCGCGGGTCAGTCTGTCGGGCAACCGGTCGCTCTCTCGTTTCTCGCTCTGTCCGCGCTCTCCGCTCGACTCGAGCGTTCTCCACGCTCCGAGACTCGATACGCGACACTCGAATCGAAATTTCGAACGCCGAACCTCGAATCCGAACCCGATCTCTATCTCTGTCTCTATCTCTAGCTCTCTAGCTCTCTGTCTATCTCTCTTTCTCTATCGGAGCAAGTGTCGTCGTCCATCGTCTGTCATATCGAGAGCGTATCGTGCGTTTTTCCGCGTACAAGTGTGTCGGAATTATTTACGGGCAAAGTTCACCGATCGCGCCGCCCGTTTGCCCGCCGTTTTGTGAACTCGTCGAATCCTGGTGTCCGTAGCGATGCGCGCGCCTCGTCGCGCACTCGGACGATCGACTTAACCCCGGCTCGTGAGTACCGCGAGTCGACGACCCCTTGCAGAGGTGCGGTTTCCCTACCGGTCGTCGAGAACGATCGTCCTCGTCGATTGTTCCATCTGGCGCTCGATCGGAAGAGTGCGGAAGAATGCGGGAAAGCCCGTTGGAGATGATCGGTGGGCAGGTAACGACTGTTCTCGGAACGAACCGACGACCGATCTCCTCTCGATAATAGTTGACAGACGAGCGAGGTTCGGGAAGCAGAGCGCGAGGTGATGTTGCTGGAGTCGCGAAATCTCGCCGGCAGGAAGAGAAACGGATTGACGCTGTCTTCGTTCGGTGGTGGAGGTGGCGGCTGCGGGGGTGGAGGCGGAGGTGGAGGAGGAGGAGGAGGAGGAGGAGGAGGAGGAGGTGGCGGCGGCTGCGGTGGTGCCGGCAGCGAGGAAGACGACGAAGAATCTCGACATCTGTTTCTTGGAAGAAAAATGCAGACCGAGGGTGCCACCGCCTCCGCGGTTTCCGCCGGCTTGTCACCCGGCTGCACGCGCGACGATGGCGACGAGAGCTCCAGCCCTTCGCCGAACGGTAGCCTCTTGAACAATCTCAACAACAACTGCAACTCGAACCGCCAATGCGCCACCGACTTTAGCATCGCGGCCATCATGGCCCGCGATTCTAGACAACAGCAGCAACAGCAACAGCAACAGCAACAGCAACAGCAACAGCAGCAGCAGCAACAGTCGCAGACGTCACCGTCGCAGCAGCAACAGCAGCAGCAACAGCAGCCGCTTCAGCAGCAAACCCAGTCGCAATCGCAGCAACCGTATCATCATCGCCAGTTGCAGCAACAGGCCGTCGGCGGAGGGAAATTGCATCAACACGGTGAGCTATTCCCTTCCATCCTTTTTTCCAATCGTAGAAAATTCGATCGTTGCCGTGACTCGAAAAGATTTTCTTTCCCTCGAACTTCAGTTTCGTTCGCGTTCCCACGTAACAACGGAAGAATCCAATTATCGGTTATCCGTGGTCGTTGTTCGCTCTCTCTCTCTCTCTCTCTCTCTCTCTGTCAAGGTCTGAATCTTGGCGACGAAAAACACAAAAATGCGGGGGGGGGGGGGGAGAAAGATGGCGAGCACGAGGCGTTACATTTGCCACGGAAATTAATCGGAGACGCGAGGAACGCGTTGTTTCTCGAAGGTTGCTCTCGAGAATGGGCGATGGACGGGAAAGCGGCGAGGCAAGGAGAAAAAGGGGAGAAGAAAAGAGGCGAGACACGGCGCGACGGTGGCGTGGTTAATGAATTATTTAGCGGCGAAGATTGTGAATGAAACTGCGTGTAGCCGGAGGGGGTTGGGATCTGGACGCGCGTTAATTCGCCCGTGCGAGAAACGGCCGGTTTCGCGCAGCCAGGTGAGGTGTCTCATCGGAATTCTGGAAACGGCCGTTGTGGTTGCTCTCTCTCTCTCTCTCTCTCTCTCTCAGCCAGACGTCCGAACGAGACTCGACGGTGTTTGGTTTCATCATCGCGTATCTTGGACGCCCGCGGCGAATAATCGCCCACGAAGATTCTACGCGGACGAAAATTTACGGTTGGCCACGGTGCAATTCACCCACGGAAACGGACCGTCGTTCCCAAATAAACTTTGGGTAAACTGCGCGATGAATCGACCGTGGTTCTCGTGTGCGTGCACGTGTGTTGGACACGCGCGACTACTCTTCTCCTCCTCCTCCTCCTCCTCCTCCTCCTCTTTCTCCACCTTCTCTCTTCCTCCTTCTCCTCCACCTCCTAGTTCGCCGCTTCGCTGCCAGACTTTACCTTGGAAATTGTTAAATAAATCGCCAATCCGAAACTCACGAGCCCCTCGGCTCGTTAATCGACGACGAATCATCCTTCTCCGTGGCTCGCGTTTCGGTAGCGTGTCCGTGGACGTCCGTGATTAACCGTTTCCGTGCGAATTTCGCCTGACCGTTTGAAAGCGCTCCGATTTGGAGAACTTGATGGACGACGCTTGTTGCCGGTTTATCTAGAAACGAACGGGTAGCCGCTTGTCGTCGGTGTAAATACGCGCGACTCGACGCCAAACGTTAATTACAATAATTGATCAATGACCGGGGGAGCTAAGGCGAAGTTGGAAACTTTTGTTCGGGCGTACGGTAGAATTCCCCCGGTTTTATAAACTTCGTTCGTTTGAATGAAATTTTTGGTAGCGTCCGAGTCTCGAGACCGTGTCGATTTGTTGCAGCTGAAACGCGAGCTTTCCTAACGAAAAGTCACTGATAACGAGGAGAATTGGCCGAATTCTTGTTATTACATGAATTATTTGAACCGCCGAGATAAGCTCATTAAAGTTTTATCGCAGAACTTTAATCGGCTCGAACGTTAATCGTAATAATTGACCAGTGACTCGCCAATTGGCTGTTAGGCAAGACTCTCAGACACTTGGGTCTAAGAGTCTGCGGAATCGTGGAAAATGTTTTGTTGATCGAGCGGATCTTACAGTGTGCAACATCAAGAATTAATTTCTAAATTTAAACTTAACCTCGGTTGATCACGTTGAAACGATAAACGATGAACACGTTGCACTTGCGAACTGCGGACATCAACGTACGAGTGTAATGCAATTGCATGTATATTCGCGCAACGAATTATTTTCTCCAAGAAACGCAGCGCTTTCTATTTTAAATTCGAGTCGACGGAGAGATTTCTTACGACGATAGACGATAAGCGGTGCCGATAAGGGAGAACGAATGATTTTTGGTCCGATTGGAACCAAGATTGACGATTTTATCGTCGTGTTTCGCCGCGATGCGGTCTATTTATATACGAAACAGGCATAAAAGAGAAAACAACATCGACATGATAATTTGCAAGGACCGCGACGATGACAAACTCTCGTCTACGACGAGATTAGGATAAAATTCTCGCTGTGTATTTTATAAATCTCACACGTCGAGTAGGTGTCCGAGTTGTATCACAGTTAGAGCCTTGTGTGAATCTTTGTTCTCTGATGTTGTACACGAGCCTCTAATATCGTACGTATATACAGAGTGTTCCGCATTTTTTCCGTACATGCTTCGGCAGTGTGTTCTACAAGTAAAAATAAGACGAAAATGTTACACAACAAAAAGTCTATAAATACTTTGTTGATAAGTTCTGACAAAAATAAGAAATATAAAAGTATATGATAATGATGTTTCTCTCAGTTCGGTACAGGGAAGAATGACATCCGTAATGTCTGTGTTAAGTAACGTAGATTGGGATATTTTTGCTGTTACGTAAAAATATCTGGATATAATTGGATGATGTAATTGTGTAAAAAATTTGCTTAATAGACAATATTCCGAAAAGATGGATTAGATTTTTATTCATGGGGCACTCTAAAAGAGAAAGTTTACAATAGTACGTGAACACAAGAGACGAATTAATTACAAAAACCAACATCGCCTGCGAAGATATCAGACAAAATCGCAACCAACTGAAATCAAGTAAAGTAAAAACAGTAAATTCAATAACTCGTCCATGTCAAATTTGTGTCGACAAAGGCCGGGCATCACTTTGAAATATAGGAGATATAGGTATATTTAGCAGCGGTTAAATCATATTTTGAATTTTCGTCATAAATTCTTAACAACATTATTTATGGACTTTTTGTTGTGTAACAACATTTTTAGTCTTATTTTTACTTGTAGAACAACGTACGAAAAAATGCGCGACACTCTGTATATACAGTGAGCAACGAAAGTATTATTAAAAATTATATTATGAAAGTATTACTAAAGTATTATAAAGTATTACCAAAAAGTTAGTCAGTAGTATAGAAAATCGTCTTCGAGAGTTTAATTAAAGCCAAGAGTGGCCCAACTAGATATTAAAATGCAATATAATCACATATATTGCATTCTATCATGATTCATGACTGTTAGAATTGCGTTCGAATACTTTCGTTATGCCTCATATGCACTCATCCGTGAAAAATGTTGTGCAATTTGTTTACCCACGATTTAATTTTTCTCCAACTTTGCATACATTTAGCAAATGTATATGCAATAGTATAAAAACAATTTGCTTCAATAAATTGCAATTTATTATACAATTTCTGTATAATCAATTATTTTCTATTGTGCCGTTCGAATACTTTCGTTGCTCTCTGTATGTACAAATGTATTTGTATTATATTATACGCACGTGCATATTTATCCGCAGGATACGTCACTTACCATAAAATGAAATACAGAAACAAATGATGGTTAAATTTGAAAAAAGACGGAATTGGTATAAATGGGAAGTTGTCGGAGGTGACGCTGTTACAAACGGAATCGTGAAAAAGATCAATTTTCTTGTCGACTGATATACATAATTATACAATTTGCGAGATTACTACATCTCCCGCGTGATTGTTAGACGAACGACGGTAGATGAGAAAATCTGGCAGCGTATTTTCAACGATTCAGGAACTTGGGATGTGCAATTAGCGTTGCCGCGATGCACATTACGCGCAAACATGATATCGCGGGATAATTAATAATCGAACGTCGCGTCGGCAAAAATGAGTGGTAGATAACGGATGATTCTGATAATACGACAATTCTAATATTAAAATGTTCCAAAAATATATCAGGATCATATATATCACGATCATCCGGTTACACAGCAGACACAGTAACAAATGATCCTCTAGTTACCAGCGGATAAGTAACAGATTGTCTTCAAGTTACTAAAAGACACAGTGGTAAATGATCCTCTAATTACCGACCGGATGCTCCGTTCTGATAACATTCGAGCGTTAAGAACTAGGGAGGATCCACGTTTCGATCGATCCTCGCAAACTATCGATAATCGTTCGCAAGGATGGCACCAGGTTCCAGGACGATACGGTCGGCGAAACGAGGCGATACGGTTCGTTCAGCCGGAATATTACAACGTCGTTGCTCGAGTAAAACCATCTGATCGTTGTGCGTAGTTTCAATCAGAGGCAGAGGTAGAAAGCACGGATAGAGTCACGGTGATTCGCTCGACGTCGACTCGAAACGGTTGTCAGTGATGCACAACTCTTCTACACGCGGAATCGTGTCCAACTCGACTTTGCCTTCGGTCGAGGAACGTCTAACGACCGACAATTCTCCGCAATTTTGCGAAACACGAGGCGAGAAAAACAACCAGCCAGCGGCTTGTCAAATTGTTTCGCTTTCGTTCTGACAGAAACTTCCAAAGGATAAAAGGTCGCGTTTGATCGAAAGAACGCTTCCGATTAATTCGCGAACAAACAAAACGCTTCTTTTTTAATCGCACGTCGACAGATTGACCGATTTGATCAGAGTCTCGCTTTGTTCCTTTCAGCTGGCCACGCTGTGAGGAAAGCTTGAGATTTCCCGCATTTTTGACAATCGAGGCGGAGATAGCAGAGAACAATTTGCAGATTTCGTAGATTGAGTTGATCGAGAAGGTCTTTCTTATTATCGGTGTTGATATAATAGATCGAATCTCATTGTTTGTGTCACTCTTGTGACGAAGAAAGAGAGCACCCGATCGTTCTTAAGACGCGACGGAACTCTGCACCTTGATCGAATCGAGAGGTGCAATTGATTAAAAACAGCAGCGATATGGAATTGCCGAGGAAATTCGTGGCCGTATTAAAAACACCTGGATTTTTCGACGTGTAACTGTCATAATAAAACAAAGTAAGGCTCGAAACTGTTCGTCAGTTGTGTCTATGAGAGAGTGTTAATGCAACACGTGTATTAGTCACTGAGAAAAGCGCGCAAGTTATCGGCTGTTTGCGAACATTAGTGAAGATTCTGTTATGTACAAGCTACGTGCAAACAAATGTGAACATCAATGGGGGGGGGGGGCAAATTTTTAACAGAAAACAGCTAAACTCATT